TGAGACTCCAACTCAAAAAAAAAAAAAAAAGTCTGTTACTAAAAGGTAGGTTTCTATGCCTGGTTCTTGGCACATCTGTGCTTCATTAGACAAACACTAAGTTTACCAGCCTTTTCCCATGTGCTCTCAAGATGACAGAAGATCACCCCTCAAGCAATCTGACCCAGATAATTTAATCTTGAGAACACCAGTCCCTTGGGAAGCCTTTTCTGACCCCTTGTCCAGGTTACATCCCTGCTATATGCTCTCACTGCACCATCTGTGTCATTGTTACTACATTTTTCACAAATGCAATTCTACCGTCATTTGTATGATAATTTGAATCCACTAAACTGTACTGTACATTCTCTGGAAAGTGAGACCATGCCTGATGATGTGTCCCCAATGATTGGCACAGGGCCTGGCACACTAGTTGAATGAGGCATTCACATTTCCTACCCCTGTTCAGTCTGCTGGTGTGAGCCAGGGAGCTAACCTGTGACTCAGGAAAGAGTGGAGATTGGGCTGTGGGCAAGAGCAATAGTCTGGTGGCTTTCAAACTTATTTTTCTAGTAGCAGAACCTTTTTCATTAAAAAAAAAAAAAAGGTGGACTCCATGGATTTTGTGAAATGTAAGTAGTGCTCTTTTGGGCTGCTTCTCCACCCTGCTGTTTGAAATCATTTATCTAGTACCAGGCCTCTAGATGGGGAAACTAGGGTGATCCTAGACTCAGAGATGTGAACTTGGCTACCTGTGGTATGTTACTAGGGAAAAAAGAAGTGAACTGCAGCAGCACTGGGCACATCTTTCCTGTGTATTCTATTAAGGAGTGTGAGCTTGAGAGAAGCTTGCAACTTGAAGCAGTTTACCCTCCAGAACTCTGAGCCAAGAAGCACTCAGCAGCCATCTCTCCTCTCCCTGAAGGCAAAAAGCAGTTTCAGCTTTTCTTTTTTTGAGTTGGAGTCTCACTCTGTCGCCCAGACTGGAGTGCAGTGGCCGGTCCCAGCCACCGCAGCCTTGATCTGCTGGGCTCCGGTGATCCTTCTAAGCCTTCCAAATAGCTGGAACTACAGGTGTGCACTATCACGCCCGGCTAATTTTTAAATTTATTGTAGAGATGCAGTCTCGCCAAGTTGCCCAGGTGGGTCTCGAACCCATGGGCTCAGGCACTTCTCTCACCTCAGCCTCCCAAAACGTGGGATTACAGGCTGAGCCAAGTTTCAGCTTTTCTAATCTCTCCTTTGACTAGATAAATTTATGTAAACATGTCTTTCAAGACAGCCCAAGTCTTCCTAAAGGTAAAGACCCTATCTATGGAACTGGCCTATAGAAATCTGTTTCTGTTTAACTCAAGATGACCTTTAATTCCTACACTGATAATACTACTAGGTCTTATGTTTAAAAGTTTTCCTATTCAAGCTCAAGAAGGAAGATCTTTTCCCCTTTCCTGACTTCTTGTGGCCTGAAACAGGGATTCCTTATCCTAGTTGTTTTTTTGTGTGTTTTTTTTTTGAGTCAGAGTCTGACTCTGTTGC